TACATATGCGAGGGTAGCTGTGGCAGAACGTCTTCATGCGTGCGATGGCTGAGGCGTGTTCTGTGTGTGTTAGATCACGCCGCCTTTTTCCTTAACCTATACTGCAGGATCACCTTTCTTTACTTCGTACATTTATTGTGATTAATTAAACGTTTACCGTATTTTCTCCCGCAATCTTGAATCGTTATTTCGTATTTGCAGTGTTGAAAAGGTGTGAAAGAAAATATTAATCGTTATTTCAATCGGTATTCAATCAGTTAACCAACAACAATGCTTCTCAATGATGTCGAAATGAAAGAAGAATGTGAGGATATCGATGAAGAGGATCCGGTCGTTTCTGAAGTAAAAATCATTGTTTTTTCTTTTGTTTTGCACTTACCTATCAGATTCCAAGGCTATTTTGTATATTGACTTATTTTATGTTCCATTTACGTTTCAGTCAAATGCCTTGCATGTGAGGCTGAAGCGAAACTGTATCATGAGAACATATCCATTGCGTCTAAATGTTCCTCCACTGTAGTCGATGAATAAATTAAAGTTTTGAATGAATCTCGTAGAGGTAGTATAGGTGCTGTGTAGACTGTTAAATTATCGCACAACTACATTTTTATTTTGTTAATCATGTAGTAACACTTCGTTGCACTGTGTGGCGCTATTATGGGATAATAACAATTGCTTGAGTGTATCCAGTTTGATCCGCTCACGACTCGAGTGCGCTTCCAATCAGTTTTATCTTTTCCTCAGAGAAATTTTAAAAACTGTTTCCAAAAGAAAAAAATTATCATTTTATATGCTATGCTATGTAATGAAGTGTATGCTTCAGTTTGATGTTGTCGTGTGTAGAACGACACCAAACGGTGAGTTATATCGAATACAATATCCCACTCGTAAGTGTGACCCTTACGCTTCGAAACGTGCGAAGGCAAAATTCAAGAAATCCGTTAAAATGGTTAGTGACAATGTATAATTGTATTAGAATATTCATTTGTTTGTCAGGCTGCTCAATCGTTTAACTTTGATAAAACACTTGCGTTCATAACATTTATGTAACCGACATTCATCGGTTAACCGTTCAGAAAGTTTTTGTCACCTATAGAAAAGCGGATGCTATCTGCCCTATTTTTTGAATTATTCGATCAGTTTTATTTGGAGTTCTCGGAATGAACGTCTCCATGATGCAAAACTTTTCGTCTCAGAGAAGAAAATCTGGAAGTAGGTTACGTATTAGGAGTTGTACCGACGAAATGAATGTTCCTTGTGTGATTTCTTCAAATTCCCACATTATCGATGTATTACACTCATTCCCAGAATGCATTTGTTTTCTTTGTATTCAGTTAGAAATGAAACTAATGGCCGATACAGAATCGGGTTCATTTGATCGAGGTAAAGCTGAACATCTGGCCACGGTATCCACTGGCGGTGGTCGACAGCCCGCTGGTACGTCATCTTCTGCATCGTACGTTATCAGTTTCTCCTTGTTCTTTCATTTCAGTTATTTGATTCATCGAACACATTGTTGAACAAAGAAGTTCTTGAAATGCTCTGAACGTTTATCTATTCATCCTATACTCCCATATTTTTCTCGTCTTCCAACCACTTTATTTTGACTGTTCTTCCAACCTGAATGTTTTATTTTGTCATTATTTGACTTCCATGAAAATTTCATGTGTACAGTCTTATTTTACTCCAGAAAAATGCTAGATGAAGAAGTATACACCGGACAGAGTTTCCAGAATATTTCACCGGTTCATTATGCGATTGGTTTTTTCATTGATCGTGGGTTCCATTCGATTATTTTGCTTTCGTTTATTTTTGTTCTCGATTGGATAATAAATTCAGTAATCTTAGACTTAAATGAATGTGTTTGTAAAGTGATTCCACAGTAAAGCGTGTCACATCTTTATCGTGTTTGTAAGCGAATAAACTCAGGGATTTAGTTATTGCTGTCGCAAGTAAATATTGCGAATGATCCTCATTTGGGATTATTTCTATCACTCCAATTGAATGTGTTTCTTATTGATCATCTGATTGATCATATTTTTTTCTTGTGTGTGTATAAAAATCAGTTTTTTCGTTGATATGATTTATTAAATCAATTAAATGAATAAAAAGTGTGCGAAAGACTGACAATGAGACTTGCCCGTTTCATTTACAGTAAGTTACAAGGTGTGTTATTCGTTGGCGATAATGAGTTGAAGTTAAAATGAATAGTTGAATTCAGATGTTCTTCATCTGTGTCCAATGAAAGGAACGTTTGAAATGCGACGATCAATAAATTACATAAATGAGTGTGGTGGTAAGAGCAGTTCGGGCGTGGTGGATTCTGAAGGTTTCTTTCTTTTCTCGTTTTCAAAGATCTTAGTAACAACTTATAAGATTATAATTCGTGATTTTACGGCGACCTGAACTTTTACATGAGCAACAAGAACTAACTACTCATTGAGATCGAGTGCAAATCTTTTATATTCTTTTGTTTGTTTGCTTTATTTGTGTCATATTTCAGGTCGAGGCGTTATTTTATTCTATTCAACTGTTTTATATTAGGAATTGTTTTTTTCATTTTTTGCCAAAGCTCAGTTCAGTTCAATTTGTTGAAATACCTTTAATAATTTCAATGAATGTTGAAGTAGAATGGAATAGTTATTCAATTGTTTTTCCGAATTCTGTTTTCGAAAATGTGATTGTAATATTTCTTTCTGTTCAGCTGACGATATGGACTCCGAGAACGAGCAGGGACCGGGTCCAGCACCACTGCGGGTTCGCTTTCTGAAGCCGGAAACTGAAAAACAGAAGAAGAGAAGGGAGGAGTCATCGTTACATCGTAGTAAATTGATTGAAAAAGATCCATGGATCCCGCTCGATATACACTCTGAATTGGTTCGTTTATGTCGCAACTCATCATGTTTGTTTCCATTTTCTCAACCAATCAGAATCTTCTCCTTTCGAAATTTCTTAAGCAGTTCTTGTCAAAATATTGTTCGGCGAGAAGTAAACAACAAATTGTGTTGATAAAAATTTTACAAATGTCTCAGCTCGACTCTTTATTCGAAATCTTCATTCCAGGAAAGCGTATCGAAACAGAAACGCGATGCTCTAATCTCGCCTCGTGATCTGAACAAATCAATCACGACGGCACCTGAACCCGAAGATTTAATTCAGGAAGCAATCGTTGGTAGCAAAATGGCTCAGTTGTAAGTTGTATTCGTTTAGTTGCTTGATTTTGACAGTAACTTTCGACAACCTCATCGAAACAGTTTTATGCAGTTACACAAAGGTTTATGATAGCATATATAAATTAGCAGTGCTCGAATTTGTCCATTATTGATATCCCTTTGTAACATCTGAAAGTGAAGCATCGTTAAATACATTTTCATTGCCGCTTTTGAGTGATCAGATTTGCTATTAGTTACGCTGAGGGCATTCACATTTTTTCTTTCCATTCACAAGGGCTATGAGTGGTTGTGTTTGGATGTATAATACAATGAAATAGATAATTGAAGGGATCTCGAGAAAACTGAACAGTTGATTCCATTGCGTCGTATACGTTATTTGAGTGATGAGGATCAAGTTCATGCAGTCATCATTAAAGGTAATAAATCGAATCATATTGATTCTTATTCGATCATTTTGATATCTTATCAGGCCCTGTCGCGTACAATCAAGCGCTATTCACGATGAGTTCTATCTGAGCAGGTCTCATTCGCGCTTTGAGTATAATGTTCATGTGGTGTGCACTTCAGCACGAGTCATAACAACAACCGAAGCGATGCGTTATGTTTCTGAGGAAATC